AAAAATGTGCTATTAATAATAACAAATATCCATTTCATATTTTGACTATATATAACAAAAGCAGTCTCTTCCGAATAAAAACTTAAATACTACAAATTTAAATCCGTATCCCAAATTGACAGACAGCACAGACAATATTAAAGTTTGCCGGACAAACTCAGTTGGGCCTCCGAACTGGGCAGCAGCAGCTGCTACCCAAACAAGAGCAAAGCCAAAAGCAAAACCGAAACCTCAAATATGTTTTTGGAGGCGTATCCGTGTCCATTTAATACACGTACATATATACAAAATTGAATTTAATTAAACCACAAATTTAGCTTGGTTCACTTTGAACTTGATTGCTGCAAATGACACCAAAATCATAATCAAGGGCCAGCTCATGCTGCGAATTAATGGGCATTAAAGTAAATACAAAGTTTTAGTTGGGAGTGTTTGACTAGTGCATACATACTTACACACACCCAAACACACAAAAGAATGAATCTAATGATTATTATATATAAATATAGTATATATAAATCTATATACAAATTAATTTTTTTATTTTTAAATGTTTAACTTTACGGTCTGTTGAGTAACTTACGTCTTATCCGATCTTTGGAAAATGTTAAAATGCCTAATATAAATATGTGTGTGTATTATAGGAAACGTTGCAATCAAATTTTAATACCCTTATATGTATATATACTGCAAAAGTCCACATAAGCAGGGACTTGCATACTACGTGTTTCTATGTAACTGTGGGAGGTGTTTGCTGAACAAATTTATTACAATTCTGCAGAATATATATATATATATATATTCATTAAATATAACAAACTTTTTGTTTATTTTGTGCTATTCATAATATGTGGGTGTAGAAAATTGTAAATTATTAGATGGAATTTTGGAATACACAAATTTTTACTGAATTTGCTATCATGGAAAGTGAATTTTGAAAATCATCAATGTTTAGAATATAGAATATATTTAACTTCAACATCACTGTTGAATTAAATATTATTGTGTTCAGTCCGAGTTATTTCCTGTTTAGCTTAGCAAGTAATGCCTTAATGCCTTAATGCCTTAATGCCCTGCCTAGGCATTTCGCATGAGCACAGGGTATACAAATTGTGCATAAGGATTTAAGTCATCGACTAGAGAACTAGTTAAATGGGTAGGCAAAGCCGATTAAAATGCACTCAAAGTTACGAGAATGCTGAAGGAAGTTCCAGCTCACCTTGGAAACGTCCACGATATGGGGGCGAACGCGGGTTTTGTGGGTGGGCGTGGCTGTGCGTGTGTATGCAGCTGTGTGGCTGTTAAGCGTTTAGCCAAGTAAAAAGGCACAGAGCGGAAAGCAGTGCTCATATTTTCAAACACAACAAATTTCGAAGGCTGTGGGGGTACGTGTTTGCTTGCTGTGTTGTTTGATTAGCTACAACAGTTGGCTCTTTAGTTGCTCCAATTGTATTATGGGAAAAACATGTTGGACTCTCACACACACCTTATCTCAGCTGATAGGCAGACAACTAAATCAGGGCAGCTGTCATAAACATAGAAGCGAATTTCCATGTTATACGTCAAGCTGATATAAACACGTATAATACAAGCACACACACACACACCAACACGAACCAACATAGATATACACACCTACTCGTAGCGGCTCACAAGCATATACAAATCATTAACATCATGTATTTGTCTTTCGTCTATACCCAAAACAACCCCCTCTCCTACACCTATCTCCAAAAATATAAAAAATGAACAAAATTACACCGAACTCAGTGGCCGCCACTGCGCACTTAAAGTCGCCCGGCATTGAGGGCGAGGGCGCAGGCGAGCCATGGATGCAGCCGGTTGTGGCTTACTTGGAGGCGCCGGTGCGGCCCACAAAATCGCCAAGTAGGTGGCGCCACTAACAAAACTCAGTTTCTCTCGCTCTCTCTCTTTCTCTCTCTCTCTGTGTGTGTGTGTGTAACGCGCCCGTAGTTAACAGTTACATTTAAATGTCTATCTGTAGTTGAACGTTGACTTAGTTGAAAATGAAACCGCTTTCTAGTTGTAAATACATCAATACACACACACACAAACACACACAGACAGACACGCACACGCACACTGCCACACTAGCACACAGCTATGGCTGCTATGCATACAGTTGAACCATTGTTTTACTGCTACGTTTTGTGTATGTGTTTGTATTGTTGTGTGTGTCTATACCTAACCATTGCAGCGACTTGTAACAACTTGACTCATTCAATACCAAAAACCGCATGCAAACTTTAACCGTTTGTGCGGAATTCTCTCTCTCTCTCTCTCTCTCTTTCTCCTTTTCTTTTTCTTTGTGCCTCTGCAAACAGAATGTGATCAGACGTTCGTCTCGCGCATTGGCGGTCCGCAAAACGGCACCTTTACGGCGCCGCTGCTGCACAATCATCGCAATCATTCGCGCCAATGCCTCTACACATTCCTAGCAGGACCTGGCCAGCGTGTCGAAGTAGTTTTTAAATCCTTTAATTTAAGAGGAAGTCCGCCAGAGTAAGTCTCAGTCTGCTGAAATTCAGAATCTCGTTTTCATCTCTCATTTATTAATATTATTTTTATACATTTATTATTCACATTTCAGCGGTTCGGCCGTCGGTGAATTACCAAGGTGGGTTTATAATGAATTAATTGGAATTAATGCATACTTAATCCGATTTTGAATCAATGCTTCACAGTTGTGTTCATGAGTACATGGATATCTACTCGGAGGTGCAATCGTCCGAACCAGCGGAGCTGATCAATTCGCCATTCGGCGGTCGCTACTGTGGTGCCATACCACCGCGTCGTCGCATTTCCATGTACCGCGCCGTTGCCATTTCATTTTTCAGCAACAAGAATGTGTCGACGGACCTGTTCGAGGGCACGTTTAGGTTTATAAATGCATGTAAGTAGGGGGAGAAGGGTCCACTAATTTTTCATAATTTTTTATATATTAAACATTTTTATTAACAATTGCCATTTACAGCGGAATATGAAATTGGCATACCCATTGCTGGTTCGCCATGTTCCTATACGATAACGCCTAGCATGAGTATCAATAAAACTGGCGCACTCATATCGCCAACCTATCCAGGTGCCTATCCGAAGGATATGTCATGCACATATCAATTTCTTGGTGAATCAAATCAGAGAGTTAGATTAGAGTTTCGTGATTTTGATCTGTTTTTTGGTGGACCACAGTGAGTACCCCTAATGCTGTACAAATTCACTAACAAAACAAATACACACAAGCACACACAAACACACACACACACACACACACGCACACTACAAACAGTTTCCAGTCAAATTCAAAACAAATTCTCGTTAGCTGGAATTTGCTTTGATCTGCAGCTACCACAATCTCACACATACACACACACAAACACACACGCACGCTCACACATGAAATCATATCTGTGAACTATCTAGAACAATTACTTATTTAAATTCTATCTAAATTCTATTCTATGTACAATTTATTCGTCTACAACCAAATTACTGTTTACTATCATCATCAAAATATATTTTTAAAAAACAACAACACCTACAACAACAACAACAACATCATACAAACAGCTGCCCATTTGACTATGTGAAAGTGTACGATGGTCCAGATAATTCGTCAGCATTAATCGGTACATATTGCGGACAGCAAAGAAACTTAGTATTGTATTCGAGCGAATCGAGCCTTTTTGTTCATTTTTATACCCTACCGCGCACCGCAAATTCCCAAAATCGTGGCTTTAAAGGAATTTATGAATTTAGCGAAAGTTTTGTTAAATTAGATTTTATACGTAAGTATTATTCAGTCGCTAAGCAATTAATCTATAATTATATTTCAGTTCAGCCATTGTCCCAGAACGACGGCCATTTTGTGGTGCTGCTAACTGTGTTGGCAACGTCACAAAATGGCCGCCGTGCTCGCATTCGACGGCTCAGTGTATGTGTCTGAAGCACATTTTCACTCACTGGATTATTTGTTCATTTGTTCATTTCTGTTGCATTCTATCAGCTAATCTATTTGATCTCGAACTTAACTCATTCTCTCTTCCATCTCTATCTGTAATCTATCGACTCCAACTGAAACTCATCTATAAATTCTAACAACTGCTACATAATCTGCCCTCTGTAAATTTCTGCAACTCATCTAAAAATGCAACAACAAAACACAAACGAAAACGAATTCCAACATTTAATTGCGTTCATCAGGTGAAAATGATGGCATTCACATACGTGGCTCAGAATGTGATCAAAAGATTTTATCGAATAAGGAATCAACAGGATTCGTGCTCTCACCTAACTATCCCTATCCATATATACAAAAAACTGTGTGTAGGTAAGTGCTATTGTAATCTCAAAGAGAAATGGAAAGAATTGCATATTAACGTATTGCTGCTCTTCGCAGATATTTCATCTATGGCATGCAGGATGCACAGCATCTGGAGCGTGTACGTCTCGAGTTTATCTCTTTCAACATACCCAAAGTGGAGCACAAGGACAAGGGCGAGTGCGTAAAATATTTGTTGTTCTTGATCAACTCAAATCTAATTGATTTCCCCTCCATTCACTCAAGATCCAACTGTACTGATGGCTATCTTAAGATCTATCTGAAAGGCCAGGAGACTGCCGACGCGTATGACAAGTTTGACTACGAGCTGTGTGGCAATGAGACGCAACGCGTGATCAGCGATGGGCCACGCCTGGCCATGGTGTTCAGTTCGGGTGAGCTGCAGGGGCGTGGCTTTAAGGGCAAGTACACATTCGAAACGGAATACAAGATACCCGGCACGGCGGCACCAGACGGCACCTGCAGCTTTACGTATGTGAGCAGCTCGAAGAAACGCGGCGAGCTGAACAGTCCACGCTATCCCTCCAACTATCCGTCAGACACGAACTGTTCCTATTTGTTCTTGGCCGAGCCCAACGAGCAGGTAACCATTGTATTCGATCACTTCAAGATCAAGGCGGACAACAATGTGAATGCCACCGCCGGCTCTTACGGGTGAGTAGAGATTTGTGATTCGAATCCGAACAGAGATTAACTAACGGTGACTCGATTGCTTGCAGCTCCGGTGCCTGCTTTGAGGATTGGCTGGAAATGTATGTCGTCTACCGGGATAACAATGATCGCTTGCTGGGCCGGTATTGTGGCTTAACAGCACCCGGACCCGTCGAGAGTCCGCGCGGCGCGGTCGGCTTACGCATCACGTTGCACACGGACCAGGAGAGCGTGGCCAGTGGCTTCAAGGCTCGATACTTTTTCGAGTCGGCCAAGTCCGATGCAGGCGACTGTGGCGGCAACTTCAGCAACGAGGACTCCGGCATTATAACCTCGCCGAACTACCCAGCTGGCTATAAGGCCCCAGGTCGCGGCATGGCCTCCAACGCATGCAACTGGGTGATGACCGCACGCGCCGGCTACAAGTTGTCCATCAATTTTGAGCAGTTCGGACTCGAGGGCGATCCAGCGAGTAAGTAAACAAAATTCAGTAAATTAGCCACGGACTGCATCATTCATAAATTCTATATTAGATCGCGGATGTCCCGCCGCTGTGCTGCGCCTGTGGGTGAATGTTGACTCGGATCAGCCGCCCCTGGAGCTGTGTGGCGAAAAGCCGCCCATTGAGCACTGGCACTATATATCCACCGGTCAGACGGCGCGCATCAGCTTTACCACCAGCGATAAGACCGTTGGTGCACAGGTGAGCATTGGCTGTATATTCATTTTATTATATTTTGTTTGTTGGGTCGAGCGGAAGTGCATGGATTTTTGGGTTAACCATGCGTATTTCCCAGCTGAATAAAATGCAACTCTTAAATGAATAATTATTATGTTTGAGCAGGGCTTCCGCATAGTATGGACTGAGATACAGGACTCTGGCCCGGGACCACCGTCGATTGGGCTGCTCTGCGAGTCCACGTACCACTTCCAGTGCGCTGCGGGCTATTGCATATCGGATAAGCTGCGCTGCGACGGCGTCAAGAACTGCGGTCCCGGCGATGATAGTGACGAATTGCATTGTGAGTCGTGAGTGAGTCGAACGGTTCAGTTCATTTTTATTTTCCTTCTGATATACTTTACTTTTCATTTATTAAATATACTCTACTTATTTATTGTTGTTTTATGTCGTTGAGTTTGTGATTTCAGTGCGTCCACTGAGCGACCATGAAAATCGTATACGTAATCTTGTTATTCACATTTCATGATTTCCGTTTCGTTTATCTTTCGACTTAAGATTATTAATTAATTGCGAAGTCACTGCATTTGTTACATATTTGGTTCATTATGCTCTTCATTTGTTTATGCTAACCACGAAAACTTGAACCCGACGAAACACTTGCTAAAAAATATATATTAATTAAATACTCTCATTAACTATAAACTAATCAACAATAATATAAACACAATGAAAATGAAAACCCCTCAAAACTCAAGCATATTATAAGGTCTATACAAACTCAAAGCACAAAAATTTCAACAGCTCTATATGTATTATTATTGTCATTTCCATGGCCAGAATTTCTGTACATACAATTTCGTATTCTTAATTAAGTTTCACCCACCCAGTCATGAAATCACTCTTAAGCTATGCATAATTACTGTTCTACCTATACATATAAATATCTATACATGGCATATTTATTCATACAATACCTAAACACAGCGCTCTCAGTAATAACAACAGCCACGCCCACACTAAAACTATCTCTTTTTCTCACATGTCTTCTTCTATTTCTCTCTGTTCTTTGTCTTTCTTTTCTATACTTTCTCGATGTGATTTTTCCACTTGAACCAACTGAAAACTAACAATCTTTACGTAACATTTGAAACAACTCCTTAAAACTAATCCGAATCAATTACCTGAAACAACCCGTTACAATGACACAGGTGACGCAAACTCCACGCATTTGCCCACATTTCTACAGACACTTGTTTTATCAATTATGGCACTAGTCTTGAATACGTACAACTAAAGAGTTAACTAAATCGAAATCGAAATCAAAATCCTTAACAAGCTGAACAACTAAATCAAATGAGTATAAAAATATAAATAAAATTTTCAAATTGGATTGCCAAACGAATGGAATTTTCACGATAATCAAAAGTGATGAATAACTATTACAATAAATATAATAACAAAGAAAAAAAAAAAGAAAAAAGAAAAAAAAAAAACAAGGCAAGAGTTTTGAATAATTTAGCAAAGCATAAATTATACGCCAATTAAATGCTAATGTCTAAGAATAAGAAATACATAATACTTTTGGTCACATATAACACGTGAGTCCTGCATAAACTTGTCTCAATTCGCTGCACACGCCCACAGCCACAATCATGACATGCACACTAACTATAAAAGAGCCCCACAGAATCCTCAACTCTCGAAATGAAAACTTGCCACAAACGACACGAATTAAATAAAGCATCGTTCTAGAAAGATATTGCTATAAAAACAAAAAGCATTCCCTATATAAAGTATATTTAAACATAAATGTAAAGTCCCCTGCTTGAGTTTTTAGTCCTCGGTTGCATATTTGAGTTTTCTCTTGTTGTAGCATTCGGAAAGAGGTTTAAAGGCATGCTGATTGGAACATTTCCTTTAGAATTCTGGCTTTTTTATGTTCTGCACTTGACTGTTTTTCGTTTTCGCTATCCCCAACTAATGATAAGCTGAGCTGCATTCGCAACTGTTATCCCCAATAAAACCCCGCATAAAAAGAATATGATAAATCAAATACTTAATGCCAACACACGACGAGAAGAATTCAAGTCTTAACATTATCTACAAGTTAGCTAGAGACTCATTTACCCATTATCTAAGTAACATTCTCATCTATACATCTATCATAATTAAAGAGTTTGAAAGTCCACGATAATGTGTATAGTATTCCGACAACTCTGTTTATTAACAATTGTTAAATTTACTTTGCACTTTGGTTTATTTACGTGCCAATTCCTGCACCAGGTATCACGGAAGCGGCCGAGGAGGATCACGACGTCCTAATTATAATAACACTAGTCGTCGCCTCGTCCCTAATTTGTCTCCTATGCACACTCTGTCACTCCAGAAGAAAACGTAGAAATCACGTGCGTCAATTGGGTTTACATCGAAATGCACACTATGATTCTCAGACGAGCGCAACGGGTAAGCAGGAGGGGCTGGATTGCAGCTGAGTTTCTGTTCCGTTTTATGTTAGATTTTGTTCATAATTTTAGGTTTTCTTTGATTTGTTGAATTGTTTGAATTTTATATTTTTTTGGAAGTAACTTGGGTAAATATTTTTACAATGAATCGAGAACAAACTGATTGCCCAATTACAAATTTCTCAGCTGGTCTTAGCTCCAGTCGCCGTCATTTGCAGAGTGGTGGGGCGAGCATAGCGGGCAGCCTACATGGCATCAATAGCGGCACGCTGATCATTCCACCGGCACCACTGCCACCCACCAGTGTGCCACCGCCACCGCATATATGCATAGCCGGCGTTGACATGTCGCACGGTTTGATGAACGACGATGACGATGATGAGGACGACGACGATCTGGAACTGGACGAGGATCAACTGGCTGCCGACATATTTATTAACGATGTGCATTTCGACGAAGATAATATTGATCATGTAAACCAAATGGCTAACGTTTAACTATGTGTTTAAGTATTTTTATCGCTAGTTTCAGCTATAAAGCGCTTTAGGTTAAGTCGTGCCCCAGCTGAAGGACGCATTACAAGTGAGTAAATGTGTGCGATCAGCTGGAGCAAAAAGAACTTGAACAAAAATTCAAAAGTTAACAATACCTAAAAGACGAAAAATTATGCAAATGTGCGAATTGATTAAGACATATATTTAATAAGCTATAGAGGAGGCGCGAATAACGTAATGAGTACAGTAGTGCGTAAACATTGTAGTAGCGATAAACGATAAACGATAAATGATAAACGATTAACGATTTACGATGAACAAAGAAGACAGACAACAAATAATAATTACATTTAATTATACATACATACTATATTATACACATTGCGACTACGGATGACGAGGGAAATGCGACAATGCGAAAAATAAAGAGAGACGGCAAACCAAATATGGAAAAGCCAAGCGGCGAGCATGTAACGCATTTTCTTAGCCAAAAGAGACCGCAAAAAGTTGTTGATTTTTATATTTGATACGAGTAATATTTAGGTGAAGCATAATTGAATGAATTATACAACAAATCCAATAAGAAATGAAAAAGTAAATAAATAAAATAAAAACACAAAGGCCCGTAAGGGAGATAATACACATTCACATGAATAAATATATTTGAATGCAAGCAAAATAAACAAACAATTCTACTTATTAAAGGGCATAAAACAATAAACATAAATGCATATATTATATCTATACAGCCGCGTATAACTTTTATTTACATCTTTTTTACACACCCGAGGAACCGACGAAACTCAAGTTAAACATGTTTACAAATTGAAGTTTTTAACAAGACATAGGATACATACGTGAAAGAGGAGAATGCATAAATAAAAGAATTAGTGACTATCAAACCTGTATCTTCCAGCAAAAGTTAAACGCAAAATCCTTTAATTGAGAGTTTTGTATACATAAGTAATAACTAAAATAAAATTGTATTAATACAAATCAATTTTAATGCGCTATTTGTCGTGCCACACAAATTCCAACATTGATAAATTCAAAGATTTTTGTCTATTTAAGCACGTTTTTATAGACATTTAAAGGGAATATTGCAGCGACATTAAAAATAAAACAAAAATTTATAAAAATCTACACGCTAAAGAGAACGGTAATAAACACTTATACAGTACATAAAGAAAAAACGAAAAGCTAAAATTAAATAACAAACAAGAAACAATAGAAAATAATTTGTGCCAATCGTTGAGTATTAATAGCTAATATTATAAGTTGTTCTTTTTAGTTTGGATTATGTTTATGATATACGTCTATATTCTATCTTAATAACAAATTTTTTAATTTTAAATAAAGAATTGTTTTATTATTTCAGAATGAGATCTTTGATCAAAATGATAAAACATAGATGAATATTTGATAAAATAAAAAAAAAAATTATTGGTTTCATAGCGCTCGTACGTTTTGCATAAAAAAAATGAAAAAGCTTAAATAAATGAGAAAAATTTAAACAGTTCAACCTAAAAATCATTTTGAATAAAAGTATGTAGGTGTTTAATAAAAAGAAACATAATAAATAAATCGAATACATTGAACAAAAAATAAAATAAAATAAAACGTTGTTAAAGTGTTTGCAAAATGCATAAAGATCAACTATTTTATAAGAAATAATTAATTATTTTTAAACAATTGCAAAATAAAAAAATTAAAAAAAAAATAACTAAAGATATTTAGTTTAAGTGTAAAAATTTTGTTGTTGTATGACATTAAAGTGAACCCCAATTAAATTAGTTAATTAAATAAATTGAATTTGTGTTCTAGCAATAAAAAAATAAACATACATTTAAAACCTATTTACTAAACATATAAAAATTAAATAAAAATGTTTGAGAAACAAACGGCAAAATCCCCGTCAAATGTTCTAAGCGTTTACTAAAAAGAAACACAACGTTAAATTAAACAAGCAAGTGTTAAATTTACATTTAAATCTATAATTAAGCAAGGCAAGCAAATGAAAGATAAGTTATATTAAACAATATGTAAAGCCTAAACCAAAATAAAAACCAAAAGCCAGAAAACAAAAATCAAACAAACAAACAAAAATAAAAGAAAAGAAATCCAAGCGTATGCATTGGCATAGAACGCTACGCTTTAGCAAAAGATAGTTGATTAAACGCAAAATTTTAAAATTGAACAAAAACACCTACAAAAACAATTCCATGTTAACATTAAATATAAATAAAGGTAATTAAATAAACGAATACTAAACCAAGACAAAATCTGAATTTTATTGAATATTGTCGAGGAAACTTTTGGTCTAGTAAATACTCTAATCATTTCCCTACAACGGATAATAAAAGTAGAAATTTATAATTTATCAATTTTTTTATATCGAGATCTTCACGTATTTGACTGTGTTGAATTGACCATTAGATATTTGGGAAACTGAAAAACATACGAGTCAGCAGCAAACTTAAATTTGTCATCTACAGATTATTGTCATCTAACTTATCATCATATAGAGTCGCTTTTTCTCTTACAGTTTTAAGTGGTTAAAAGTATATGATGTAGTATATGTGTGTAAATAGCGTTTATTATATTTAAGTGAAAATTGCACATGCAAATTATATAAAATACATTTCTTTTTTTACTTTTGCGAATTCAAACGAAATTTGTCCAACATTTTGTTAATAGCATCCGCATCGCCATCGACTTTAGCCTTGTCCTGTTCCAGCATTTGCTCAAAACTCTTTTGCTTAGTGCCAACCAAATAGAAGTCCTCATCTGCTATAGTAACCCGGCCGTCAACATCAGCTGCGGTGCCCTCATAAATGTCCAGAGCTTTGAAATCAAATACTACAGTAAGAGGGTCAGCAGGAGGCGCCAGACTTAAGCAATGGCAATAACTCACCCATGCTCTTAATGAGTTTGCCATCGGAGTCCGTAAAATTGAACTGAAATGTGTTGACCACAGTTCGTTTGTTCGGGTCGGACTCCTTGAGCTTGTTGCGTATTTTCTCAATGATCTCGTCGCTTTTCATACTACTGATTCGTGGGTGTGCGCAGCACAACTGGTTTACTCGAGTGCAGTTGCTTGACTAATTCAAATACTGAGACCAATTGAAACGAAGACAGCGGATTACCGCAGCAGCTCTCGTTGGGGCTTTGCATAATTCTCAATTAAAGTCAATTTGTCTGATAGAGACATGATTGACATATTGATACAGGGCATGAGAAAATCTAAAGCAACGACTGGTCAAACGCAGTTAGTATTACAGTGCTGTTAAATAAAATACATATATTTGGATACGTAAAATCTATTGCTACTAAATAAAACTTAGTATGCGACCAGTTGATCTAGGCCTATTGAAACTAAGGCTTCCATAGCTTTAGTAGACCGTCTTCACTATAGGTGGCCAGAAGATTCTGATGTGGGTGATGTGTTAGGCCAATGACGTCTTTTTCGTGTACCTAAAAACAAAACAAATTCATACAGCTAACTGCAAAACAAGACCAACAAAATATATTTACGTTCAGTGTACGCTCCAGTTTGCCCGAAGAAACCGAGAAGCAATATAGCACTTGATCTTCACCAGCACAGTAAATAAATTCGCCTCGGGGTGACAGGGTAGCTGAGATAAAGGCGCCGCCCTCGCGCTTACCCGACGAGAATGATCGAACAATTTGGCCCTGCATGTTCATAATGACAACTGTGTTGGACCTATTGCAAACGATAAAGTGTTCAGGATTTTTGGGCAGGATAAGCACAGTATTCACGGCCAGTTCATTGCCCAACGGCTTGTACGTAGCTACGCATTCTGTAGTTTTCAGTGACCAGACTTTAACGGTGCCATCGGAAGAAGCACTGAGCACACTGTGACCATCAGGTGTAAACGTGGTTTCATTGACAAATGATGTGTGACCCTTAAACTCCTTAAGCATTTTGCCAGACTTCAGGCCGTGCAGACGCACAGTATAGTCAAAGGAGGCACTGAGCACTTGGCTGTTGTCGCGAGAGAACTGTAGACAGGTAATGCCTTTGGTGTGTGCTTTCTCAAATTTACGCAGACACTGGCCGGTAATGATGCGCCAAACCTTTATTTGGCCGTCCTGAGCACCGGATGCAACCATTTCAGAGTCCCGCGAGAAGGTTAATGCCAGCACAGCTTGCTCCATCATCATGAACTGGTCCTGCGCTTGGTATTTCAAATCCTTACGTACTTTGCCCGTTGTAAAATTCCAAACTTCTAAGAAGCCATCTACGCTTCCTGTTATTAAATACTGTCCATCTGGTGAGAACTGTGCACACTCTACATGAGACTTTTCACCAAATTTGATCTGTCTAAACAGTTGCGTTGGATACATTTCCTCCTCTTGATCTCTCATGGCTGCCTTACCACGGAATAAATCAATGGTAGTGCCGGGTGGAAGAAGACCTTGATGCTGTTGCCATTTCAGCGCTTGGCCAAGCAACGCCAAGAGCCTGGACGAAGGCACAACGTGCACTTCGCCACTCAACTCCTGGGCAATAGCCGCACGTCGCTTCTCTTTGCTGCTGCCCTCTGCATAAGCTTCGCGGGGATCGAAATATGCTCGTTGCAACATGTTTTCTGAGAGATAAAGAGCATACGGTTTATACACAGAATAGCGTAGAGCATTGATGACACTCACCTAGATGTATATACCGCTCGGGCTCATGCTGCTTTAACATACTCATTGGGTCGGTTTGACGAAGTAGTGAGCGAGCGGCACCCAATTCACGCAGCTCTATCAATTCCAAGACAATTTGCTCATAGAGATTGAGTAATTTTTTGTCTGGCAGCTTCAGAGATTGGGTTACTTTGAGCACAGTGTCCCAGTGGCCATTAGAGATATCTTGGACAAACCCATCGACACTGTCTACTGTATTGAGTGAAACTCCAGTTTCCTCCTACAAAGTATCAGAGTAATATGAGGAGTTTAATAAATAAAATGTATTCTTACCTGTAAGGTTTGAAGCGTTTTGAGTAGATTGGATTCTTTTAGGTATTGCTGAATTAGACGAATTACGCTGCAAAATATGTGTTTCTTTATTTGGTTTAGTAATGTGCTACTTATTATACTTACTCTGCTGATTCTATTTCAATAGACATGATGCGCTGTAAGCCTAGGTAGGTTTAATAAATTTATTTTTATTTTTATTTTTAACAGAAAACGCGTCTATTCGGCAAATGTGTACTGAATCATGTGGAACATGTTCCCGTGAACCATTTCTCGCTCATCCATTTGTTTCGTTCACTTTGGTCATCGCGCCTGTAACAGTTTGTTTACCTGTTATTAATAGCATGTGCTAATATTTTTTTTCGATACAAATGACAACTCAAACCGAAAACAGTGATTTCAACTATTAAAACTTTTAATAGACTAAAATATTTCTTTATAATATCTCAAAATACAATTAATTAATGATATTTTAACGATTTTATAGTGGGCTATATTTAATATCGATATATCGGTAACTCATCCAATAGCTCATTCATGTGCCGGTCACAGCTGTTTGTTGCTCTTCTTCTTCCCATTCGCATTGGATCTTTTTGCATAACAATCATATTCTGAAATAGCGGATATCATCAATTAAAATGTCTAAAGCAGCGGGGAAATTAAAATCATTAAAGAAAACAGTCGAGCGAGTAACGCATACGACAAAACTAAAAACAAATATTCCCGCTGGCATGGCAGCAGCCGGCCCGCCACTGGGTCCCATGCTAGGTCAGGTAAGTTCTTACTAATTATGTGCTTAACATTTAAATAATAAAGGCATTTTGACAGCGAGCCATTAACATTGCTGCGTTTTGCAAGGACTTTAACACGAAAACTGCGGAAATGAAAGAGGGCGTACCACTGCCATGTCGGATATCAATGAACAGTGATCGCAGCTACGACTTGGTCATACATCATCCGCCAGCCACATTTTTCCTTAAGCAAGCGGCCGGCATTCAGCGAGGCACAATGACTCCAGGGCGAGAGGTTGCCGGAAAGATTACTCTAAAGCATTTGTACGAAATAGCGGCAATCAAGATACAAGATCCACCCAATGCAATGCTAACCATGAAAGTAAGTTGGATATTGATATTTGTAATATTTGTATCATGTGCTTACAAGACTTAATTTTATTAGCAAATGTGTGAGATGCTCATTGGCATTGCACGAACTTGTGGAATAAAGGTAGTTCGTGATTTAGATCCCACGGAATATGCTCAGTTCTTGGAAGAGCGCAAAGTTATTGTCGAGGAACAGCGACGTGAGCTCCAGGAAAAACGCGAGGCGAAAATGTTGAGAACGGGCTAAATATATTGTATGATTTGTTAATATATATACATTAATAACTACAATAACTATATCTATTCAATGCTTATACGCTTTCGATCCTTTGCAGCATTCTTTTTGCGTCGTTTCTCCAGATGTTTGTTTAGTTTTCCAGTATCTTTCAACTGCTCAAACTGAGCGACCAACTCCTTGGCGCGTCTTTCCTCTGCAATGAAAATTGTTATTAAATCGAGCCATTCTTTTATTCTTTAAGACTTACGTTTTGTCACATAATGTGGCTGACGTCCCTCGTCGTGTGCCTTTTGAATCTCTTTACGTTCCTCTTTTAATATATTTTGTTTGATGTGCCAGCGTTTGTCCTCCACATTCTTGTTAATGAGTCTTTGAATGGTGTGCTTGATTTTTAGCTTTTCTTCGTCATCTTTTACTGCGTCTAGGCGTTTTTTCAACTGTTCCACTTCCTTGTCGCGAATTGTAGTTACGAATTTGTAGTTTTGCTTAAAAGTATCGGTATCATATGTACCCGACCTCTCATCAAAACGTGGATCCCGGATCTCAGTTTCTTTCTTCCGTTCCGCACGCAGCTCAGCGCCTAAAAAGGGCACTTGACGCTTGGCACTTACTTCCCGGGGCCGATTTTTGTTCAGTCTTTTAAGTTCTGCTTTTGGTTTCGGCTGCTTACGCTTCACACTTTTATTACCAAGAACCGCCTCTTTGTAGACTTTTGCCCCTAATTGTTCTTTGAGCTGCAATATCTCTTCAAAGGACATAGTCTTAAGGTCCTCCCGAACAGCACTCTGATTTGAAATTAAAATTGCATTGGATTTGGCTTCAAAATTTGATATGCCAACTAAATTACCTGTACTTCGTCGTCAGTAGTTGCATCATGATCAGATGCAGCGCTGGACTCGCTTGAAGATGGCATTTGTTATTGCCAATATTAGTGAATTGAGAATCGAATCAACCTTCACGTGTTTTGTTATTATTATGTTTATAGAGAGGAGGCTAATGCTATATCGATATATTCTAATTTATTAACGATAGTAATAAGCATTTATATTTTAACAGCGCGATTTGTGTACTCTTATTATTAACATTAATTTATCGATGCCTGAAATCTCATTCATGAATGCTATCGATAGTCCCATTTGTTTGGTATCTGGCAGCACGATGCAAATCAGATCTTCCCTTTGGTTTAAATGGCGCGCTATTCAAGTTTTGGAATTCAATTGAAAGTTGACTTAAGGTAACGTATTTAGAAAAAGGAAATCAGAATCAACTTTCAACAGTTGGTTGCATGTTGTTTTCTCATTACTCGTTTCACTTGCTTCACGTGCAGAAAATAATTGACCTAACTCTCGCTAAATCAACATAAATATCAGTCAAATTTAGTGGGCACTTTAATGACAGTCATAAGTTGGCTATCTGACAGGACATGCCCACGTTTTTGATGGCCAAGGTTCAGGACTCAGACACTCGCGACTTGTTTGCTTTGCATTTGTAGTCAGTCAAGCTGAGGTGAAAGACAGTTAAAGCTGTCAAAGCACTAAACGGTCATGTGACTTCAGATACAGCTAGTGTGAGTTCATGGTGCATGCCACGAGTGTGTTCTTTTTTTTTAGCGAGTCATTGACAGGACCGTATCTTAGCAAAATGGCGCCCAAAAGAAGTCTTCAGATGTACCTATTATTCGTTCAGTTTAATCTTTTGAAGATTTAATCAAATTAAAAATATAAGGACAAAAAAAAAGAAATATTGGTGAAATTGCATTTGAAATGCCTTATTAATTTCGGTCAATAACTTTCATTCAATGAACTAATGTAATACCTGCACAATGTGACAGGTATCCCACTGATATTATAATCAAGCACATTGCTTGGCCTTTACGTTGAAGTATTCGGATTTAGCGGGCAAGAACCACGCGAACGCTGTCCATTCACCAATTACTCGTGTTTATGTATCACGCTGTTCGCTGCGTTGTCCTTAATTTCCTAAAAAGCGTTTAAACATCTAATGAAAGCATTTGGCTTGCGATTTTTACTGTCTGTCAATTTTAGTTGCGTTTGGAGCTTCGCTGCGTGCGGTTCGTCTTGTCCTGTCTCGTCTGGTCTTGTTGGTTGCTGCAACTAACTAGCTTAGTTAGTAGTTAACCGTTTAGCTTGGAGACTATGCTGCTCATCTGATCATGGCCAAAATAATATCAACGATCAAGGCGATCCTCACGCGCATCATATTCAGCGCCCACAGCTTGCTGGCCATTTGGCAGGTGACGACGTTTAAGAAGGACATCATATATTGGACGCTATGTGGGCCGCTGCTGCTGCTGCTGCTCGAGGGCATCTTCACCATAATGATCAAGAAGACGCAAGAATGGCGCTGGTAAGTCGACAGATCCTTCCAGCTACGCATCCATCTATCAATCGCTTATATAGTCTGAGCCAACGTAAACAAAAAATCGGCTCGAGCTGACGTCATGTTCGGTCGGGCGCTTTGATTTTCAATTAAAAGTGAAATCATGTGGTTAATGTGTGTGCAAGCAACCACCAATCACAGACAAACCAGCATGACCACAAAGACCACTCCTCCGGGCACCCACCCACGCGTCGTTGTAGTAAAAAACTTTAATGGAATTTCACTTTGGCACTAGATTGTTCGCCCGTGTCTTGGGCCAGTTGTTTACCTTTTGGCGCGGGGCGCATCACTTTGACTTGCTTGTTTGTTTTGGACATTCGCTTTGGCGCCATCGCTTCATTCCCTTCTCTCCTCTGCAGGTTCTGTCCCTCGGTGTTTCTGTACCTGAGCAGCATTGTGCCGGCCATTTGGTTGCTTGAGCTGGATAAGATCGAGCGTCGCCTACTGGTGATAAATGGCTCGTTGGTCAATGTAAATGCTAGCAATGCCATCACTGACAACAACCTTACCAGTACCATCACCAGCGCCGGAACCGCCGCCACCGCTACCAGCACCACCAATAACAGCGCCATGGTGCCAGTGGCTGATCTGCTGGACGATGCTGGGATCACATTGCCCGTGATTAGCCCAGATACGTGGACCACGCTAATCGAACAGTTTCTTATGCTGATTCTGATTGTGGGCCGTTGGCTGCTGCCCAAAGGTGACTTGACACGCGACCAGCTCAGCCAGCTGCTGTTGGTCTACATTGGCACAGCGGCGGATATCATCGAGTTCTTTGACTCCTACAAAGATGATTCCATTGCACGCATTGGATTTTTGGTATTCCTCACTCTAGGCATTTGGTCCTGGAGCCTGATGCAGTTTACCATTGTGCTGTCAGCCACACGGGGCAGGCGACCGAGAGGCAGCGGCTCACATCATAAGGAGGAGTAAGTGGGAATATTTAATCTAATTTAACAATATTTAATATGATGCATCTTGCAGACAGGCGGATTGCTGTCAGAACTGCTGCTGTGGCATTGATGTCTGGGGTAACGTAAAAATATATAAGACAAGATATATACATACATATATATGATATAATTTTTCTCCCTCTTTGATAGGCATTGTGCTGAACGTAATTCTTCAGGATGCGCCATTTCTCACCTTTCGCTTATTGATTATATTTCAATATAAAATAATTAACTACATGAACGTGTTTTTTACCTGTAAGTCAGAACTAAATATTTTGTTGAGGTAAACTAAATCTTATAATATGCCAGGCAAAAACTCCTTGGTGATTATACTTCAGCTGTACCGCCTGTACGTGGTCAATGCGGAGTTCTGGAAGAGTCGACGTGAAAGCCGCATGGCCAAGGCGCGTCAGTATCAATCCCGCAGGCGAGTGCACGATGCGGACCAGAACAGCATTTATATGATATCCAATGAACGTGGCGGGGAGGTCAAAAAGAAGATTAAGAAGTGAGTGCATACAAAAATTAAATTTATAAACATAATAGATATGGCTTCATTTAATCAAACCAGAGCTAAGGATAGAGACTTTGTGGAACAAGAAGCCAGTTACAGCAAAAAGAAGCGAGATAAGAAGGATAAGTAGGTCGCCTGCCCAACGGGACAATGGAATATTACATAACAATAGTTTCATTACTCACAGAAAAAAACGCAAGCGCAAGGACACGGGCTACTCCACTGCCAGCTCACAAAATCTGTACTCCACCAAGGCTAGCAACAAGGATAAAAAGGGCAAGAAATCGAAGCGCAACTGCAGCAGTTCTCCGAGCGATTGCGATCCGATGAATGCCAAGAAATTGAAGCGCGCTAAGAATGCCGAAAAGGCCGACAAGAAGTAAGTGATATTTGGACAATCAAATCATAAATGTTGCTAATATCTATTTGGTTAGGAAATCGCGCAAAATCGAGGCTGTTATTGAGGAGTCGAGCAGTTCAAGCAGCAGCAGCTCGGACTCCAGCAATTCCACACTGCCCAGCTATGAAGTGATTGATGAGAAGAAGTCGCGACGCCGCAAACGTGACCAGAGCAGCGACTCCAGCTCCAGCGACAGCAGCTCGGACTCGTCTTCATCGTCCTCCTGAATTGGGCACTGAATATTTGGACTAACGGCATTTGAACGCGGAATCCGCTGAATGTAACGTTATTGTAATTTTTGTGACAGCCAAAACACATTTGGCTGCGACGCTAGTCAAAGAAGACTCAGGTGTCTCTTTTTTTGGCATGACTATTTGAAGGGTCAATTCAATTTGTTAAAAACATATATTTTCATATGTTTGCATATATGTGTATATGCTATTAAAAAAACGCAACCAAATTTAAACTTAATAAAATACCGCCTTGATTTTGAAACAAGTTGTCAGCCCCGTATTGCAATAGCTCTTTTAGCTTTTCATTGCGCTTTACTCTTTCGCTCACTGTATTTTGTTTTACATCTGCTCAAAGCTTCGAAAAGCTTGAGCCTAGCAACCGCGCCAGCTGCTTTTAACGTAGCGTCAAAGTTTTTTGTTGACACTCACAGTAAATAAACATGTGTGTGTGCATGCGTGTGCGCGGGTATGAGCATGTGTGTATCTGTTCCCCACAGACGTGTATGTGGTTTTTGTAATAATAAATAGTTGCTGCTGAGCGTTCGAGCGCTGTGGACGCTCTGTTGTTGTCGTTTGTGTTCTGCTGCGGAAAAAGCGTTTTGTGCCCGTCAAGTTGAATCTAGTGTGAGTGAGTGCTCTATTGTTGTCCCCATGTGTATATGTATACATACATATGTATATAGATAGATGTTGTAGGTACTAATGTGTGCATATGTAAGTTTTATAAACTATGCTAGCCGACAAATCTTATTCAAATCTTGCGAGAGCTTCCACACAGCAGTTTCCTCCCTCACAAAAACGAAAACAATAACAACAACAAAGTCGCGTGCTTGTTGCTGCTTGCTGATGGTTGCTCGCTGCTATCGTAATACAAGAATAACAATAAAAGTATTAACAAAGAAATTCTGGTTTCTTGTTTAAATAAAATTGATAAAACAAAATAAAAATGATAACCGAGCAGGTATGAAATGCTAATTGAACTCGAATTTGTAATATACAGTCTGAAGCTCTTCTAAAAATATAGAAATGCAAATTTATTAAAAGTGAAAAATTGCTTTAGTGACCGAAGCGCACAATCACACATAATTTGTCATGCGTATATTGCCTATATACAATGTTCACATATATGTGCATTCACAGATGTGTGAACATTGTATTTACAGTGGCAGTGCGATTCAACTGAGCAGTTGGCGCACACGCTGCTGGCTCTTCTATTTAACTGCCCTGCACTGTGCCGCAAAATAGTCGAATAGTGGAGTTATCCAGCTGTTCGGAGGCAAACAAATATCGCGTACACAAAACACGTTTCCACCAAGCAAAACAGCATAGACATGTATATGTATAATGTTCATATGTATATGTATATATCGTGTANATCATCGCGACCCTGGATGTAAGGAATGCCTTCAACACAGCTAGTTGGGATATGATACTGAATGCGCTGTCACAATATAATATCCCTAAATATCTAAGAGAGATAATAAAGAGCTACTTCAGAGGAAGAACACTGGTATACAACACGAGTGAGGGTCCCCAAACTCATACAGTGTCAGCTGGAGTACCCCAAGGCTCAGTGCTGGGGCCTCTCCTATGGAACATCATGTACGACGGCGTACTGCGCTTGGAACTACCAGCAGGCGCGCACACCATTGGCTTTGCTGATGATGTAGCTGTCGTAGCCATAGGAAAGGAGCTCAAAGATACAGAGGATATGTGCAGCGAAAGTATCAATCGCATACGAAGCTGGTTGACAGGAGCTGGGCTCGAGCTAGCGGCGCACAAGACGGAAGTCGTCCTAGTAAGCAGTCACAAAAGAGTGGAAACTGCCAATATAAAGATCGGCAGCGTTACCATTGCGTCAAAGAGGGCGATAAAGTATCTTGGTGTCATGATAGACACAAGATTAACTTTCCGCGAGCACTTGATTCTTGTAGAGCTCTCTCGAGAATTATGCTACACGCAGCAACGACGTCTCCTTCTAATGAGCGTCATTAGGTCCGTCATCCTCTATDCTGCGCCAATATGGGCAAGAGCGATGCCAATGCCGAGCTGCATCCGGGACATTTGCGCCACCTACAGAATGTGCGCAATCAGAGTTTGCTGCGCGTTCAGAATAGTCTCGGACGACGCGGCGTTCGTCATAGCCGGTATGGTGCCTCTGGAGGACTTAGTCACCGCAGCCGTGGAACAGAATGCACACGAGCCTCTACGACGCAACGATATCAGAGCGAACAGCATTGCACGATGGCAAAGAAGGTGGAGCAGCTCAAAGCTAAAGGGCGGTGGACACATACTCTCATCCCGGAGCTTGAGCCATGGGTAAACTGCAAACACGGCGCGGTTAATTTTTATCTTTTACAGATTCTTTCGGGACATGGGTGCTTTCGGAGCTACTTAAAGCGCTTTGGCCACGAAGAAACTGACGAATACTCTTGGTGCGGACGAGGTCTGGTGGGGGACGTCAACCATGTCTTATTTGAATGTGGACGCTTTCTAGAGGAGAAGCGTTGTCTGGAAGAAGCAGTGGGCCGCTCCCTTCGAGCGGGCAACATGGTCAACGTTATGCTGGAATCGGAGGCAGCTTGGAAACTCATAAGCACCTTCGCAGCCACAATTATGATGGAGCTTCGCAGAATCGAGCGAAGACGAGCTGTCTCAGGCTAATGGAGTGTAAAGTGCTTGCGAAGCAATGCACCTAAACACATAATGTATTAGAGTAAAGTTGTAAATAAACGAATATAAAACAAGTAATAAAGCTCTAATCGAGACTGCTCGACTACGAGATCCCCTGAACCCTTGGACCATTAGCTATTTCGATAATTTTCGCGTCTTTCAGCTTACACAAGAAACACGCACACACACACACACGCAGACATACACAAACATTTACATACACAAACACAGACACACACAAGGATAAACACGCACGGGCTGCAGTGTGGGCTTATTATGAGAACTTTATTGCTTAATAACTATTTTTGTGGACATACGAACTTCATGAAACTTTCAGATTATGATTATAACATGGATATGCATGTATTTGCCAAAGCACAAGTCTCTAGTATTTGAAATACGCTTTTTACAAAAGTGAGGGTGAGGGGGTGAATTTAAGGGTGGGGGGTAAATTTGAACAAAATCCGAAAATTCAGCCATACTAAATGGGCATTTTTATTTGTTGGGTTAGGGAAAAAAAGTATCACAACTCGGCGAAAGAAGGCGAATTTTTTTACGTTATTGATCTTCAAATACTCTTAATATCACTAAAAACCTTTATAGGCAAGTCGCAATTATTCTGAGTATTATGGGTGGACGATGGTTCCTTGGAGTATCCTGGATAAAAAAAGCGATTTATAGCAGGTTGCCAAAGAATATTCGCAAAAAAAGAGGCCTATGTACCAACGTGGTGAAGAATCGGTAATGCTCTGGTGGTTCGCATGTGTCAATAGCCTCTCCAATTTGATATTAATTAATGAAAAATGAAGA